TTTGCGTTTTTGTTTTTCCATTCTAAAACGATTTACATACATAACGCGGCAAAAAACAAAAAGTCACTGCCTGTCTCTCGCTCTCACTAATATAAACAACTCCTCAGGATTGGTGTTGCTGAGCGTGGAAGTTCGTTATAAACGGAAAGTGAATATACAACTGTAACCAGTAAAAAATACTTTGGTCTTTATGGACGACGTTTCAATTAAAGGAAAAAAGTTCGTTTTAACCGAAAGTTCGCTATAAGCGGGTTCATTATAAGCGGATTTTACTGTATTTCATTTTTGTTTTTTTTATTCAATTCACTCCCATTCAATTTTGTTACAATTGCAACTTTTACTTTTCGTTTGTTTACCAACCCCAATTCGCGAGTTAAACTACCGATGGTGGCGCTGCCAAACGTCTAATTACTCGTTGTCGAGTGACAGTTGAGACTTGTCCGACTTGTTTATTTATTGGAGTTGATGACATTTATGACATAAAACACTACTTACACTTTTCGATCTGTTTCTATTACTTTAAAAGCTGCTTGCTAAAGTTGATGAACAAAACAAATGTGACACCAATGTCAACAAAACAAGTGTCAAATTACTATTTAACTTGTAGTTATAATTTTGGCCAACGGGGGGCGTCTGGACTTTTGAACTCGCGAATAGATAGACAAGTCTGACAACTCTCTACTGTCACTCGGCAACGAGTAATTTGACATTTCACAGCGCCCCATCGGTAGTAGAACTCGCCGATTGAGGAAAAGTTATGCATGATAGGATGGTACGGAATTGTTTCTATTGGTTGGAGATCTGTTAATTCGTACGACGACGGACGAATTGACAGATCTCCAACCAATAGAAACACTTTCGTACCATCGTATCATCGTACAAGCGGATGCATGGGACACGGGCTTTAGGAGGGACGCCACGGACAAAACAAAACATTTGGTTGTTATTGCAAAATGTGCTCCCGCGTTGCCAGTAATCGCCCAAAAAAACTCGTTTAAATATCCAAAGCGGTGTAGCAACAATTAACTAATTTGCTTTTCTAAGTCAAACTTAAACAGCCCGCATTTCCTTACTGCCGGTATTACACTACGAACTTCTTTTTCGCGTTTTATTGGCCAACAGTCGGACAATTAATTATTGAAGGTCACCAGAGATGAGCGTAAATCGCACGATTTATTGGTCCAATTTTGCATTATTGGGGCTTTTGCCTCATGTGCCATGATCTGAACCACCCTGTAGACTTTGGGACTATTCTGGAGGTTGAATCTGGCTGGAAACCGTGTGAGCTCGACCATGGAACACATGTTGGTGTGCTTAGCGAGAAAAAGCTGAAACATACGGTCGCCAGACTGTTTCAGACGCTCATTTGCTGGTTAACAGTGAAATGAATAGTGGCGGAACTTTGCATGAAACCTTTCCGTTATCACTGGACTCGGGCATAATCTGGCCAATTAGTGGCGATAATTAACGCAAGTTTTTCGGAGATTTGCGATAAACAGAGTGCAGTTATCGCGGTGCCCCAATACAAATGTTGTTGCTGCTGTCAATTTGCACGATATTTTATCGATTCCCTCCAGTAAACCGAGCAACTGGATTCAGATCTGAAAATACGCATGAATAGATGCAGCTCCTGGATATTCGGCTATTCAAGCTCGTTGTTGAATCAGTACCCTGGAACTATTATTATGCCGAGTGCAGCACCAGGCGAAAGAATGTTGTTTACGTTCCGAGCTGGGTCAGATTTGTTGCTTTCATTTCATAGGTTACATGCAACTGTTTTGACATACCTTAACGTCCGAGACCTCTTTCATGATCTTCTCGAAGGCGGCCGTCTCCTCCGCTTGTCGATGAGTGTGTAGCGCGATTTTTTCACTAAATTTCCTCGGATTCGCCATGATTGCCGTACACAAAATTCACTGTACTGCACTGCGCGGCTCTTGTCCGTATCAGTTCATGTTGGCACAATCGATAACCGACTTTTCTTTATTACTTTTTAATCGTCATCCCGTTGCCGCTTTCCACACGCGGATCATCCACTACATCCTTTTCCCGATTTCTGGCCACTTTAATTGCGCTGCCAATCGTCTTAATTCTCGCACAGACCGACCGACTGGTTGCCCCAAAAATTGCGTTCTCACGTTATTCACCCAATGGAATTTGGAATAACAACGCTGTATATGTGGTTGCCTGTCCAGGCTGATCGCATGTCAGTTTTGGTGCGCCGTCAAGGTCTGGCACCCGCATTTTTTCAGGTCCGGCATCAAATCGCTTTTTATCTTGTTACACTCCTATTAACATGTTTCTGATAAAGGATTAGATTATCGTCCCGATTCGGGCGAAACGTCGGCATGGAAATTACGAAAAATACCGATAACACTACAGGGTGTCCCAAAGGAAACCGCCGCGATCGATACCTGGCAAGCTATAATTAGGAGAAATTTGATAATTGAAGAGTGTACCGAAGTCATTAGGGGCAAGCGATCTAAAATATTCCTAAGATGGCCACACTTCCGGTTATACCGAAACTAAGTATAAACTTGCTTATTTTAAATGGAACACCCTGTATATTATTACATTTTTGAATTCTAAATGTTTTTCATGTATCACATCCTATRCCTAAGTCTAACCGTTTTTGAGATATTKGAAGTTTTATGTAAAAAATGACAGTTACAGCCACTCGAATAATTATTCAGTTTGCCTATAAGGSAATTTGTCATGCTTACTTTGAGTCKCATTTATTGTTGAAAATGACYTACTTTAATGGAATTTCGAAATCATTTTGAAAACTATTAATAGAAAGTGTTAAAAATGTTGAGAAAACCGCCYAAAATRAATTTTTGCSAATGRAAACCCCCATTTTTGATAACTTTGTCATATTCAGAATTAAAAATWAGTGTAAGTTTGTGTAACGATGTCTATTCCAAWAGTGTTTAGTTTTCGAAATATTGCCAATTTARTGTTTTCATAYSGCTATTTTGCAACACCTTYWTTTAAATCCTGTCACTCTTAGTTGYCATGACGRAAGTGGCCATTTTCAATACAATCAAATGCCAAATAAAAGCTGMCAGCTGTCAGTTACCTTTTGAAAATAATTAATAATCATGSCCGGTCGCTTAAATTATAAAAAMKAAGATTATTTAAACTTRYYTATTAYTTATGRAGMATGTGATAGRAACACAAAGGGYCGTGGAAGTTCACTAGCTCATAACAGGCAAACGACTGGAAATATCTGAGCAATCATTAGACGCTTTTCGATAGAGCATCACTAGAACTGTATTTTCATTTCAGGGGTTTACGCAAAATTCCTAACCTCTAAAACGTGAGGAGCAAAAAGTCAACTTTTAAACAGCCGTCGAATTTCACGCGTTCATAACAMGCAAACGGCTGGAAATATCTGAACAATCATTAGAAACTTTTCGATAGAGCGTCCTTATGACTTTATTTTTCTTTTCAGGTTTTACGCAAAATTCCTAACCTCTAAAAAGKTAGGAACAAAAAGTCAACTTTTAAACAGCCGTCGAATTTCACGCGTTCATAACACGCAAACGGCTGGAAATATCTGATCAATCATTAGAAACTTTTCGATAGAGCGTCCTTATGACTTTATTTTTCTTTTCAGGTTTTACGCAAAATTCTTAACCTCTAAAAAGTTAGGAAGAAAAAGTCAACTTTTAAACAGCCGTCGAATTTCACGCGTTTATAACACGCAAACCGCTGGAAATATCTGAACAATCATTAGAAGCTTTTCGATAGAGCGAACCTTTGACTATATTTTCCGTTCAAGGTTCTACGCAAAATTTGCAAAAAAAAACAAGCTAATATGCTCAAATTCACACATTTTATAGGAGACATTTGAAGTTCAAAACGTTACAATTTTCACACAAATCGCTTAAACTGGTGAGTTTAGGCCTGAGTAACACTGTGTAGAGTTGCGCTTTGAGTTGTCGTCGCTCTATGAGTTACTGAGTTTTAACTCGTTGGCTAATGAGTTAAACATATTGCTTTTGCGCATACGATTGCTTGAAACTATTTGGTCTAAAACGGGAAAATCCGGAAATTTTGCAGAAGAGATTTATTTTAAACTTTCGCTTATTCAGTTCGTTTTTTCACAGAAAATTATTTTTTTTGTGCCAAATTCGAAGCTGGAAAGGAATTTCAAAACTTTTTACAAAGCGACGAAGGAGGCGAGTGTTCTAATAAAACTGATTTCATAATTTTTGGAGAAAAACTTCGTCATTTGCCAATCGTCAATACCGTTTAGTGAATCTTTAGAAAATTGAGCATTTAGAAAAAAGAGAAGCTGTGCTAAAACTGACAAATTCTGAAATTTTGAAGAAATGTTAAAAATATTATTGATAAATGGCCCTTAAAATAAATCTAAAAACTATTAAAAAAATCGTCAACATTTCCCCAGCAAGTAACTGAGTTACTGCGCCGGTACGTTGAGTTGGCGTAGCACTGTGCCAATGTCACCAATTGATTACATTGATGGCGCATTCGCCCAATTGTCCAAAGCGCTGCACGCACCCCGCATTTAATACTGAACTACTAAAAAAATTGCTGAACAAAAAACCGCTGGCAAAATTAAAAAAATCCTCAACCGCTCCTCTATTAACAAACTGGAGGCCTGATTTGATCGCCAGCGATAAAATTAATTGGATAAAACTTCCATTCGCACGCGGTTCAAGGTTCACACCGCATCACATCACTGTTGAAACTGCCGCAATCACGATAAGTAGGCGTCGCTCGGTTATTTTTGTGCATAAAATGACAGAGGAAAACATTGGTCCAGCCCCCACGGTGTTCATCCAAGAGGGCCCAGTCAGAGGGCTGGTGTCGACAGACGTTCGCGGAGGAAAATTCTACAGTTTCCTCGGGATTCCATATGCAAAGCCACCGGTGGGGCCTTTACGGTTTAAGGTAAGACAGAGTCCAGTTGCCTTAGGAGGTGGCTACTACCTTTCACCCGACTAACGATTAGTATCGATTAATAATAATAGTATTTTCCTACAGGCTCCTGTTCCAGTGGATCCATGGCTGGACGCGTTCGATGCCACCCAGCCAGGCGAAATCGCCATCCAGGCGGACTTTTTAACCAAAGGGATGGTCGGGTGTGAGGACTGTTTGAACTTGAACGTTTACACACCACAAGTGAGTACCTCACGCACCTCCTATAAACCCGATGAAAGCCTCAAAAGTGGCGCAGCTTCCAGCCCCAGTCACCCCTAAGCGACTGCTTAAGCCCGTTATGGTATTCATACATGGAGGCAGCTTCCTCTTGGGCTCAAATCGTCGGGAACTTCACGGCCCCGAGATTCTCATCAGTGAGGACGTGGTTCTTGTGGCCATCAATTACCGGTTGGGCGTCTTCGGTAAGGCATCCGACTCTTCAGGAGGGTTGAAACTTCCACTGCCAATTGCAGGCTTTTTAAGCTTGGAGGATCCTAAGCTGGACGTGCCAGGCAATGCGGCCTTGAAAGACATGGTCCTGGCCCTGAAATGGGTTCAACGGAACATCCAGAGTTTCATGGGGGACCCGAGGAACGTGACGATTTTTGGAAACAGTGCTGGAGCGGCAGCCGTTCATTTCCTGGTTCTTTCGCCCATGGCTAAGGGTAGGTCTTGCGGGCAAAGCCATGCTGCTAACAAAGACGCTTAAGGGCTTTTCAGCAAGGCCATCTGCCAGAGCGGCTCGGCTTTGAGCAGCTGGGCGTACGCCCATCAAAACGCACAGACAGTCGCTGAGGCGCTAGCGCTTCCCTATACGGGCGATCGGGACCTATACAATTGCCTTAAGGGACTTAAGGTGGAGGACATTTTTCAGGCGCAGTCCAAAATTGATCAGGTACCCTAAGTAACTAATAACGTTTTTAACTAGTGTGCAATTTGCCGGTTTCATTTGCGGCCAGGAATCAATCAAGTGCAACCAATACCGTTTTATTGGCGCAGTGGTGGAGCCGCCTGATTGGAGAGGGCCAAAGTTCTTCTCTGAACACCCAGTCCGATTGCTTTTGTCGGGGAAGTACAATAAAGTGCCTTTGCTAATGGGGTACAACTCTGGCGACGGTGAGTACCCACATAGCAAAATGATATTCCCAGAATATACCTGG